CCAGGACACGGGACTTTGATCGAGTTCTGTACTTCTTCAGATTCCATGATGGGAAGAGTTGGAAAAGATCTTGGGATTCATGTCATAAGATGTTCTGAGAAACATTTGAATGTCGAAAGTGATGAAACTATCAAAGTCCTTGACGGCATCATCGAAACCAAACCTGGTGCCGACCTTTGGGGTTCATTACCATGTGGGCCTTGGACTCAGTGGCAGACGCTCAACGTGCATTTGTATGGTGATGACTTCGCCAGCAGATTGTCCGAGAGGCGTAAGGTGTCAAGAAGGTTGGTTAAACGGTTTTGTCGTTTGGCTCGCGCTGTAGCGCGAAAGGGAGGTCGAGTCACATTCGAATGGCCTCGACACTGTGTTGGTTGGGCATTGCAAGAACTCCAGAAACTTATTCGGGATCTCAACATGATGATTGTGGATTTTGATGGGTGCCAAGTTGGATTGACTGACTCAAAGGGTGATCTTCATTTGAAGAGGTGGAGGTTGATTACTACATGCAACCGTACTGCTAGGATCTTTTCAACGTTGAGATGCAATCATCCAGCTGATTTCCAACATGCCCCCATTTCAGGATCAAGAACACGCCTCACTGGTTTCTACCCCAAGGAGATGTGTGAGTATGTAATGCATGCGATGTATCCTGATATCATCTCACGACATGTCCCAGCCATGCCAGTCACACAAGTGATAGAGCAAACAGTTGAACACCGGGAGCGTGAGCCTGAAGAGGGACGAGATGGTGGTGTCTTCATTTACGATTCAGTCGACCCCCTTGCAGCAGCCGCAGCTGAGGGCCTGGATGAACCTGCCGATGATGAGGCTGAGGACAGGGAATCCAGGGATGATAGACTGAAGAGGGAGGCAACATCATTAGAACACATCACATTGCACGCCAAGAAGAATCCATTTTGCCCACATTGCCAAAGAGGTCGAATGATCAAACGATATGCTCATAGACATAGACCCGAACCTGAGGACGAAGAGGTTGTGTACAGTATTGCAAAGGAGTTTGGAAGCATCATTGAGGCTGACCACATTTTTCCAGCGGTTGAGTCTAGGGGGCTTGGTGGTGAACAGTCCGCCCTCTTAGTGCGAGACAGATACTCTGGAATGTGTTTGACATACCCTCAACGAACACGCAATGAAGATAGCAACTATGATGCGTTGAAACATTTTGGTGGCAACAAGTTGAACGGTAACCCAGATGTTGTATTCCACTCCGACACGGCCCAGGAATTGACCAATGCTGCATCAAGACTGGGATGGGTGGCTGATCCATCAGCCGCCAATCACTGGCCACACAATGCCTTTGTTGAAAGAGAAATCAGGACCATCAAGGAGATGTGCAGGCCATCGCACCTGCAGGCAGGCTTCCACAGAAGGCTTTGGACCATTTCCATCGAGTACACAGCCACTGCAAGATCCTTCTTCACTCCGGCTCCGATCACGGAGGATGAGAGAGACACGGAAGAGGGAAAGAAGAAACTTGGTAAGACGCGATGGGAAGTGGCCACAGGTAAACCTTTTGATGGCGTCTCTTATCCACTAGGCGCATTGGTTTTCTATCGTTCCAAGGGGGACGGCATGGCAGAGCCCACAACTCGTCCGGGGTTGTTTGCCGGTTGGCACCTATCCCCTGGGCTTCGGTATCGTGGCAATGTGAAGATTTTGGACTATGAGTCTGTCAGAGAGAGAGGACATTTGCACTGGCAGCCACGTGTGATGCATGAGAAGGAGGTCTATTTCCCTCCAACAGAATACGTTGAATTTCCTCTTGCATTAGCTGCACAAAATGCCATGTTGCAAATGACGGATGAGGAGAAAGAAGTCAAGAAAGCCATCTATGATAGATCTTTCGTGGAAGGGGTTTTGCCATATGACGTGTGCATTGATTCTTTTCCTGTTGACGCGCCTCCACCTCCTCCAAGACACGCTTACATAACATGGTCAAGGTTGATGAAACATGGCTTCACCAGGGGATGTCCAGGGTGCTCCATGGGACACAACAGACACTCACAAGAATGCAAAACAAGGTTTGACGCCATCTTCTCCAGACGTGGCGAATCAGTGGGACCAACTCCGAGACCAATACAGGATGGTGTTGAAACTGAATATGAACCATCCATAGCTCCAGATCAATTCCCTGAAGATGAAGTACCCATATGCCCACCGAGGTCTGATGATGAAGAAGAGCTGCAACCAGCAGCGGTCACCAGACAGCTCCCGAGGTCAGAGGTTCTCTCGCGTCCTGACGCGATAGCCGCGATCAAGAAGGAGTTTGACGGTATTGGGGACATGGGCACATGGGATTTGGGATCGGTTGAGGAGGAAGAGACGGTGAAAAGGCGAGCCATAGAGAATGGCCAGACTATCCACCTAGCAGACCTACTAGCCATATGTAGTGAGAAGAACGTTGAGCTAGAACCAAAGTTCAGAACCCTCAAGGGTAGAGTATGCTACAGGGGTGACGCAGCGAAAACTGCAAAAGGAAATGTCGCGCTATATCAAACCATGAGCGCGTCCCCTGCTTCGATCACTGCGGCTAACGCCATCATAGCATACGGTCTGTTGAAAGGCCACAAGATTTCATCAGCAGACGCCATCAAGGCGTACCTTCAGAGCGTTTTGAACTCATTGGCCGAAACTTGGGTCAGGTTGCCCAGAGAAGTTTGGCCGGAAACTTGGTTTGACTCAAATGGAAAGCCTTTGTACCGGAGGCCAGTCATCAGGCTGCTTCGCAGCTTGTATGGGCATCCAGAAGCTGGAGCACATTGGGAAAGGAAGCTGGAGCAAGAGTTGGTAAACATGGGAGCCACGAAGATTCCAGAATTCCCAAGCACATATGTGTTTCCTTCCTACGGGCATTTGGCTTTGGTTGTTTATGTGGATGACTTCGTTTTGAGCGGGGACAGTTCATACCACGATTCCTTTTGGGCAGACCTTTCTAAAAGAATCATGTTGGATGACATCGGTGACCTAGGTAGGTTCTTGGGGAGACATCATTCAACAGTGGAGTTCAGAAATCAAGAACTATTCGCATTCGACATGCGAGCCTATGCTGAGAGCATTGTCAATGACTATGTTCGACTGATAGGTCACGCAAAACTGAAGAGAGTTAGCACACCATTTCTCTCAAAGACCACTGTGCTTGAGGAGGCTCCGACTAAGGGCGAACTTTCAGGTTCAGCCAGCTCGGTCCTTATGAAACTGATGTGGTTGGCGCGATTGTCGCGGCCTGATATGCTGAGAGTAACCACTTGGTTAGCTACTAAGGTGCAACAGTGGACCACGGAGTGTGACAACCATCTTTTCAGGGCGATTAGTTATTTGAATGAAACAAAAGACCACTTACTCACTGGCCATGTAGATGATGATTTGAATGACATCTATGTTGAGCTGTTCTGCGATGCAGACTTTTGTGGTGATGACGAGCACACATATTCCACAACTGGTGGGTGGGTACAGCTAAGTGGAAAGAGCACCAGTTTTCCACTGACCTGGATGTCCAAAAAGCAAGGTGCGGTCTCCAGATCGACAACTGAAGCTGAGGCTGCAGCGATGGCTACTACTTTATTTGATGAAGGTCTGCCGTTGCTAGAGCTGTTTTCAGTATTATTCAGAAAGTCAGTGCGCTTGTTAATCAGAGAAGATAACGAAGCCACAGCAAAGGTGGTTTCTGCTGGCTATTCCAAGCGTTTGCGACATATGAAGAGAACACATCGTATAAACTTAGGTAGCCTCAAAGAGGAACTGGACAAGGACGATGTGGACTTGCAACTAGTTGCCAGTCGCTACCAGAAAGCCGATATCTTCACTAAGGGATTGGCAGGTGAACTGTGGGGACCCGCGTTGGACCTTCTGGGAATAATCAATGGATATGTGGTCACTCGGACCACGAACACTGGTTTGAAGATCCAGGAGAATTTTGATGAGTCTCTGCAGCCTTCCTATGCTGAGGACAAGTCAAAACCTGTGCCTACTCAGGATGCTCCGAAGCCTAAGGCCAATGTGAGAAAGAAGTACAAGAAGAAGGCCCCACGCATTCTTCCATACCAGAAAGCTCCAGAAGACTAGGTCGGTGCCGAACGTACCACTGGCCGGAGTCAATCGAGAGGGGGGAGTAGAAAATACTCGAATAACCCCTATGCCGTGTATGCATGTTCATACCACATAGTGGTCCCAAAACGGAGCCCACTATATTGTTGTTGCCTTTGACTGTAAAGTGTACATAATGTCAGGGTTTTTACAACGGGAATAGACTATTCAAATAGTTATCGACAATGATAACTCATTTCCTTAATCCTGTAATCCGGGGATTTGGTCATCAAACCATTTACTTGGCCAACAACGTTTGGCTCAAGGTGCCCGCTAAAACAGGTGTTTGTGCTTAGCTTCACTGGCCATTGTTACATCTGTTGACTACTGCATCTTGAATACACGTCAATATTACTTCTGGTACAATCCCCGCATTCACTGGATTTACTGGAATTTTGTCGAACACTAAATAAATAAATAAATATATATATATATAAACATATGATAAATTGATGAATAATTAAATTGACACACACACACGCACACACACACATACATACATTGACATACATTGACATACATTGACATACATTGGCATACATTGACATACATACATGCATGCATGCATGCATGCATCCATGCATGCATGCATGCATGCATGCATCCATGCATCCATGCATCCATGCATCCATGCATCCATGCATCCATGCATCCATGCATCCATGCATCCATGCATCCATGCATCCATGCATGCATGCATCCATCCATCCATCCATCCATACATCCATACATACATACATACATACATACACACACACATATATATATAATATATAATATATATATATGTACATGCACATTGTGTGCGCGAGTGCGTGCGCCCGCGCGCGCGCGTGTGCCACATACACACAGAGGCGCATACATTTTCTCCCTCAGGGTGGCTGAATCACCAGGTGGGGACTCAGTCTATCTCTCCACTGCTTTGGGCCGTGGAAAGCGGCACATGGAAGGCGGCTGAGCTGATCATTGAGGATTTGCTAACCACCCGTGCGGACCGGGAGCAGTATTACTATGGTTTGGATGATTTGTTCCTCTGATTTTTTTGCTGATTTTCTGGGTGATTCCCAGGGACAAGCCCCATTGATTGTTTCTTTTTCTGAGTTTTTTTGGTGATTTTCTAGGGAACTTCTTCCATGGTATTGGTCAATCCATGTTCATCCAACAGAAGGGAAATCTGATCTGCTATTTTTCGTTCTTTGGATTAAATGATGTGCTGAAAAGGTGATTTTAGATCTTCCCAACTTGGCTATGCAATCCACGACTGGGGAATCTACTTGAAACCTATTTTTTTGATTTACCAGGAGCTTTGGAATGCGATTTATCCCAGGTTTGAGAGGCACCCGGACTTTGTGGAAATTTTGGCCACCAAAGCCACCAGTTTATTGAAGCCCCTTTTCGACGGCATGATTTGGCGCTCACACTTGGCTCATGACGGGCTTCGACGTGGCAACTACTACATCAAGCATCTGGTGGCGGATTCGAAGGGGAACTTCCCAGATGCCATGGAAAACCTGGTCAGTCTGCAAAACCCACAGATGCTGGGCATGGCGAGTTGTTGCAATTCACCGTTGTTTTTTTTTTAATCAACCATAGTAATGGGATGATCACCCCCATTGACGAAGATAGATATTTTTCCAGGTTCACATCACCAGGATTGCGTTGCATCCCTTGATCATGCGTCTTAGTGACGTCATTTGGACAGGGGTGGTGCGTTCCAGATTTCTTCGAAATAATGCTTGGCTGCTCTTCACCTTGCTCCTGTTTTTGATCAGTCATGGGATGCTCCATGGTGAAGATAGTGCCTCAAGAAGCACCATCTTTGTGTGCCGCATGTTGATTTATGTGTTTGCAATGCCCGTGTTGATCCACGGCCGTGTGCGACACATTCGTCAGGCCATCAGGGATCGTGAACTGGTGCAGCTGGGCTGCATCCCAGTGCCGCAGAGGTATGTCGACAATTGGAGAGAACCAGCAGCTGTACTCCTGGTTCTTGCTCTTCTGATCAGCTTGTGCCTTGAGCCCATCTTTTATTGTGCGAACCATTCCTCCGGAAGCTTTGATGGTGCAGGGTTGTTCACCGATCTGTGCCCAGAGGCGAAAGACCGTGAAGTTTACAACTTGATGTCGATGGTGGTGATTGCTGTCTACATGGTTTTGCTTATGGACCTTGCTACACTCTCCCGGCACATGGCTGCCTACGTGCTGGTGGCGCTCAACGTTTTGCCCGAGCTCTTTTTGTTGTTGATCAGCATCGGCTTTTTGATTCTGATGTTCGCCACCTGCATTGCGGTCAGCAGCAACGATGTTGCCAGCTTCCAGACTTCCCCCATGGCAATTCTTCGTTTGTTCCAGTTCTCCATCAACACCAAGGGTGATACTGAACTCATGGCCATTGCGGAGTCGCCATTGTTGTGTGTGGCTATTGGCACTTTTGTTGCGCTCACCAGTCTGGGAAGCTTCAGCATTTTTGTGGCTCAGCTCACCTGTGCGCACCACGAGATTTATGCCAACATGGTCGGCTTTGCTGGTCTGCGGCGCATGCAGATTGAAGTGGACTCCTTGCAATACCTCAAACCTAAGACCTGGAAGGCTTTTGTGGAGGGACTTCGGCTTGATGAAGCATTGGAGTTCCTGGGACCTGATAGGCAGTGTGCTACAGCCGAGGTGGGGCAATGACAGCGTAGGCGACCATCCGCACGTCGTACTAATCTGGAGAATCCAAATCAGTGCCAAGGGATGTAAGAATATGTATATAAATTCAATTTGGAAGCATATATATATATATTATATATAATTGTATGTATATATATATATATACATATGTGTGTATATATATATGTATATATATATAAAGCACACATATACACACATATATATATATATTTATATATAGATGCACCATGATGCACCTATATTTCAATGTCTTTAGCCTCAGCTGAACTCTTGGAGTTCAAACATTTTTACCGAGGTTTGGCGAAGGTGACATCGGGCTGGCGGGCGGCATTCAGCTCATGGAATCAGCCTATCTCTACCCGCAACACCGGGAGTCCATTCAGAGGTTTGGAGGCAGCACGAGCCCACAGATGCCATGGCCTAGAGATCGGGGGCAGGAGACCACTGAAGATGAACGCCTGGAGATTGCCATGAGAAAATTCCAGAAAGCAGTGGCTGGGTGATTTTTGATATATTTTGTGATCATTCTTGATGATTTTTGTTGGGCCAATTTTGACTTTTGAATTCCAGTGCATTTCTTTTGATCTGACATGTCTTGGGATGTTTTGGGCATCTCCATTCCCATTATAGGAACACAAAAAGCCAGGAATCAGGAAGTGGTATGTTGGGACCAGCCAGGTGGCAGTAGTTGCAAAGAAGACTCTTAAGAGCAGCTGCTTGGGAAGCAATTTGTCCGGCTTGAGCTTCGGGTCGAGAAAGGGCAATAGCAGTGCCAGCAAGAACGGCAGTGAGGAGTTGGATACTAAGAGTGAAAGTTCTACGAAGTCTGAGGCATAGGTCAGACGGTCAGACGTTGAAGGGGAGGTGCACCATTGATACCCTCTGGTAATTTAACATGACTATGGAAAATTACCATTTATAGTGAATTGTCCCATGAAAAATGGTGATTTTCCATAGTTATGTTAGTTTACCAGAGGGTAACCGCAATTTCCTTTTTTGTTCGATAACTCAATGTCGAACTCCGCAAGTCAAATCCGTGGTTTCCGAGTGCACATCTCTGAGCAACACATGCACAGCATGCAGAGGGATTCCCATCGCCCACGACGATGAGAATTTCCTTGAAGTCAGTTAAACTGCTTCATGGCTGCATCAGGAACCTTCATTCCGTCAATATTCCGGGCCATCCTGTATTTACGTTTCGGGTGCGCTGATTGGCACCAGAACATGTCGGCCGATCAGCTGTGGCGCCCGGGTGTGCAAACTGTGCACCACAGCAGACACATGAGAACCCAACAGCGGTGTCCTCAAAAGTCCTCAAAGCGTCCGTCAGCAGACGAAAAAAAGCGCCAGAGGTAGCAGAAGGACCAGGCTGCCATGGGTTGCAATGTCATTAAGGTGGGTACAATACATTGATGATGCTGAGAATCTGGTGAGCGACCTTCATATCGCCCACCTGGCAGGACCTACGTGTCTTAGGGTCGCGCCTGTGCGAGCCCGAGCAACCAACCAGAACTGCTGTGTGCACTGTTGAATGTGCGTGCCAATGATGGTTGATGATAATGATGGGTGATGATTTTTGAATGAGAACCCATGTGGAAACAGAAATCCTCGACATAAACTGGACTAGGAGTTGTCAGTCATTTTCTCTTGTTTTTAACATGTTTGATATTGTTTGATGATCTTTGACCATGGATATCATGGTTCCAGGCTTCCAGGTTCATCGGGTTCTCTGGCTTTCCTCCCCTTCCAACTTTTGAGGCTCCGGGACTTCTTGCTGCCAATTTTTGATGCCACCGGCCAGACTGTGGCGAAGGTGGCGTGCACCGGAGAACGGATGGCGCTGCTGAAAGGATGGCTGGCTGAGCTGTTTGTGGCCTCAGATTTTCCGGCCATAGGTCAGAGGGGTTACCAATTATTATAGTGGATTTGGAGCTAATCCATGGGGTAGCATAGGTTCTTAATTCTTCATGAATTCTATGGATCATCTATAGGCTTTGCCATTCTACTGGCTGATGGGTTCATGAAGAATTTATAACTTATAACCAATGACATAGGCCATCCCCAATGGGGGTTTATTATCGGGAATGCCATTTCGTATGATGTAAAATGACCACGATATGGTTGGCTGGGTTTACCACATTATAGCACATCATATAACTGGTGTATGGGGATTGGTATATAGTTCACTGCGGCAAACCTGTGTGAAGCAACGAGTGAAAGGGCATTCCACTGAGCTTGGGAAAGTTTCAAGTTTCAATGGTGGCCGAGGATTGACAAACTCCCAGGGGCCCGGTTTTTTCCCCCCTCCTCAAATAGTAACAGTTCCAACATTTACAGCCCTGGCAGCAATCAACCACGGTTTTATCAATCCTGGGCTAACGTTACATTTGGGGAAAAAAAAGCGTTGACACATTCATGAATCCGAGGCAGAGCCTTTGTGGACGCTGTGGATCATCTCTGCAGGTGCCAAAATCCAGAAAAAACCGAGGGCCTACCCCGGATCTCCACATGGCAATGGCATGGGCCCGTGCTCTGGCCCCACTGTGAGGCAAATCCAGCTGCCTGTGGCCGCTGCAAGCAGGCCATGGGCGATTTGTGTTTTACTGTTCTTCGAGCCGACAAAAATGCCTTGATTCAACCGCGATGGCCAGGTGCGCTACTGCAGCCGCGAGTGCCAGCAAAGCGATTGGAAGGAGCAGAATCGATTCATTGAACACACACAGGCCATGAGGTCAATGCAATGAGCCGTTGAAGTGTGGTTTGCTCATACTTTCTTACCAGTTTGGTTGGCGGTTTGGATCAGATCCCTTCTTGTTAAGGTATTTTCCCCATAGGATATCCTCAAGCACAAACCCAAAGTGTCAAACCTCAGTCAGACTGCCAGGAGAGGCACAAGGCAGGCTGCCTTCCATGTTCTGAGTCGTAGGGCCCTGAGTTGCCTTGTAACATCAGGGATACGACGTTACGATGACTTTTTCTATGCCACCTGGACAGATTTGATGGAACTGCCGCTGATGCTGATGCCCCACATCATGAACTAGAAACTCGGTACCGTCAGATTGTCTCAGAGATGCCCCCCAAGGCTATCGGGAGCCAGACACCAAGTCACTGAAGTCACGCTCCAGCAACTGTTGCTAGCTGTTCATCAGTGTGTCTGAAAATGAGGAGTTTAACCCTAGCCATTTCAATAGGCAAAACGATGATTTATCAATGGGCTTGGGTTCCCCTATTTTCAGACAAAGCTCAGCTGAGCCTTCTTGCCATCAAACAACTTGTGCCTTGGCTCAACTCCCTGCCTCAAGGACTGAAAGAAGTCCAGGTAGTACAGGTGCAAGACATGAGAACCCCGAAGGTAGACAGCTTGAAGCGCATGGACTAACAGACGTAAGGGGAATTGGATGACATAGAAAGTGGATGAAAGTCGTAAATCGATGTTATGCAGCGCCCCTGACAGCTATGAATAAGGCCCTGTAGATCAATAATATTATTTATAATCTATGGATATTATCATGCCACAGATTATAGATAATCAGTTCAACAAATCAGTTCAGAAAAGTCTCATCCTTCGTTGCCATGGTGGCCACCCGAGCTGTGCCTAAGAGGCCGCTTCTGATTTCCTTGGGATAGCCATAGTGCCATAGTCATAGCTTCCAGTTTGCCTGCAGCTGGGGTGACAAAAAACAGCTGTCCATAGCTGTCCAGTTTTCCCAATCTTATGTCAAGTGCATGATATTTGATAAGTTTTGATCAGTATTGGCGCTTTCTGCAGCCAGAAACTTGCAGAGCCACGACTTTTTGCGGCCCTCAGAGGCAACCCTCATGAAGTCCAATCCCCCTGGAGCACTTGCAACTTTGTGGCGACCTCAGGAAGACTGGAACGCAGGGGATTGGGCCACATGCCATCGGTGGTTGACAATCTAATGGGGAATCTGCCAGTTGGATCCAGTTGGATTAAAGTGGACATCCACCGCGGTAATGGATTTTTAATGATTTTTAGATGACTGTAGACAAGCAGTGTGATGATCCCGAGCAATGGAATTATGATGAATTATGTAGGTCCAGCAGCGATAATGCACAGAAGTGTCCGTAGCTCACCTCATCTTGGCGGTTGGCCTACCACAGGTTGAAGACAGATCCAGCGCAAGGCTTAGATGCGCAGCAACAACCAGTGCCAGCGCGTCACCGATGGTTGACTTGCTGGATCAGTGCAGAATCAACAGAACCTGCAGCTGCAGCCAAGGACCTATGTCAGCAACTGCAGGAAGCGATACAAAGCTTCCCCTTGCAGCCGAAGGCCGGACCAGCTGAGCATCATTTTGGCAGCGGTGGAAGTATGTTAGCCAAACAAATACCCCACTAATGGCGAACATCAATTGTCGTGCAACGAACAGCTGGTGAAATTCACTTCCACTGCCATCTGCAGCCTGAGATGTTCCCAACGCAGGAAAAAGCGCCAAAGAAAGCCGCTGGCTGTCAGAGTGAGCTGGATCCAGTGCCTTGCCCCGTGGGGAGACCATCCCAGCTGATTTTCCATGAAGTTGTACCATTTCCCCCACATCTCCCCAAACCAAGCTATCAAAAGACACACCTAAAAATGTGGATAACTCGGTATTTCCTGATCATTTTCTGAGAGTTCGATCAGCTTTGATCAGCTTTGATCGGTTGGGAACTGCGCAAGTGCCCAGGTGCTGTCTGAGCAACTGCAGGTGGCCATGGAAAGCCTCGGCTTGCCACTGACTCCGCAGGCACTTCCAATCTTGGCCGGTCACACTTATACGGTAACCGTAACCCCCCAAACAAGATATACACGGCTTTACTCCCGACATCTCCCGACAAAAAAACTTTAGCGACAAAAACAACATGAAAACGACAAAAAAAAGAGGTTAAGATCGACAAATCCATTTCCATCAGCTTCGAATAATTATGATTTGATCTTCATCCGCAGCGGTTTTCGGCAAAGCATATTTTCATCTATTTATAGATCAAATGCAAACAAATCAAAGCAAATGAACACAATGCAAAACTCCATTGACATGAGTTGTAGCTTGTGATGATGCCATGAATCGGAATATTAGTTCACAATGCCATTACAGTACGGATTTCACGGTAAATTGGAAATCATCCCCACGCAATGGAAACTTAGACATCCGACTCATGCTTTGCACGGCAAAAAGCATGTATTACAATGTTTGCCTTGTGGAAATGGAACGAGCTGTTTCAAATCATCTCCACATATCAGGGTAAATTTGACACATTGATACATGTTGTGCGCTGTAAAATGCTCGAACAGATTTCTTGCTTGGAATTTGCGCGTTCGTTCCATTTCATTTATGATTTTGTAGCCTAAAAACCGTGATGAAACCATTGCCGCTCTCAAAACTGCACTTTTTTTTTTTTTGTCGGAACCATGCTGATTTTTTGTCGGAAGGATGGGTAAAGGAAGTTATTTTTTTTTGGCCTTGCAACTAGAATTAAGTTTTCGTCGTGGTTCGGGCGGCGTGTCTCATTGCTTCTTTGCTCTGGGGACCCGCAAAACAGATACCCCACCAATGACGAACACCTGTCGTGTATCGTTGGTGATCCCAAATGGAAGCTGTGGAAGTTCAGTAACAAACAGCTGGTGAAATTTACTGATCTTCCACTGCATCTGCCGCAGCCTGGGATGTTCCCAACGCAGGAAAAAGCGCCAAAGAAAGCCGCTGGCTGTCAGAGTGAGCTGGATCCAGTGCCTTGCCCCGTGGGGAGACCATCCCAGCTGATTTTCCATGAAGTTGTACCATTTCCCCCACATCTCCCCAAACCAAGCTATCAAAAGACACACCTAAAAATGTGGATAACTCGGTATTTCCTGATCATTTTCTGAGAGTGCGATCAGGTTTGATCAGCTTTGATCAGCTTTGATCGGTTGGGAACTGCGCAAGTGCCCAGGTGCTGTCTAAGCAACTGCAGGTGGCCATGGAAAGCCTCGCCTTGCCGCTGACTCCACAGGCACTTCCAATCTTGGCCGGTCACACTTCTACCGTAACCGTAACATCCCAAACAAGATATACACGGCTTTACTCCCGACATCTCCCGACAAAAACAAGGTGGGCCAGAGAACCCAAAAGCAAGACGGCACACAGCACGCCTTTTCTTGAAAATCTTGGGGTGTGGCCAGCTGTGCTCTGCACGAAATCGACGTAAGATCTTTACTTAAACATCGTGCGCACTGATGGTATCAGGGGCCACGATTCACCACAGCATGCTGTGTCAGCTACGCCTACAGTCTTCTAGTCGCTATTTCTGTTAATGTAATTAACTCTATCCCATCTGTCTAGTCGCTATCTATTTCTGCGTTCTCGTTTAGTTTGCTTCGCCGCAGAGGGAGCGAGCACGAAGCGTGGACGGACAGAACGAAATGAAAATTAAACGACAGAGGGAGCTGACCAAAAGAGCATGAAAACGAAGATATATATGAAGGTGACAGATGGCAAATGATCATGAAAAATGAGACATGATAAAAGATGGGTAAAGACTTCTCTGTACAAAAGCTTCTTTGCATAAAAGCTTCTGCAAGTAAAAGCTTCTGTGGGCAAGAACTTCTCTGTGTAAAGGTTTTTGGTGTAAAAGCTCTTGTGTGTAAAATCTTCTGTGTAAAACGCGCTCTGTGTGTAAAAGTTTCTGTTTGCGAAAGTTTCTTTGCGTACCAGCTTCTGTCTGTAAAAGCTCCTCTGTGTTAAGGTTTTGTTTGTGTAAAGCTTCTGTGTGCAAAAGCTTCTCTGTGTAAAAGACTTCTCTGTGTCAAAGCCTCTGAGTGTACAAGCTTCTCTGTGTAAAAGTTCCTCTGTGTAAAAGCTCCTCTGTGAAAAAGCCGCTCTGTGTAAAAGGCTTCTGTGTGTAAAAGCCTCTGTGTGTGCAAGCTTCTCTGTGTCAAGACTTCTTTGTGTAAAGATTTCTCTGTGTAAAAACTACTCTGTGTAAACGCTTCCGTGTAAACTCTTTCCTGTGTAAACGCCTCCGTGTGTAAAGACTTCTCTGTGTAAACCCGTCTGTGTGTAAAAGCTCCTTTGTTTAAAGGTTTTTTTGTGTTAAAAGCTTCTGTGTGTAAAACCTTCTGTGTGTAAAAGTTTCTGTGTGTAAAAGCTTCTGTGTGTAAAGGTTTCTGTGTGTAAAAGCTTCTGTGTATTAAAAAAACCTTATGTAAAAGCTTCTGTGTAAAAAAGCCCCCTGTGTGTACAAGCTTCGCTGCGTAAAAGCTGCTCTGTGTAAAAAATCTGTGCGCCGTAAAGTTGTCTGTTTGTAAAACCTCCTGTGTGTGTGTGAAAGCGTCTGTGTGTACAAGATTCTGTGTGCAAAAGCTCCTCTGTGCAAAGACTTCTCTGTGTACAAAGCTTCTGTGTGTGAAAGTTTCTGTGTGTAAAAGCTTTCCTGTGTAAAAGTTTTCTTGTGCAAAAGCTCCTGTGTGAAAAACTTCTCTGTGTAAAGGCTTTTTTGTGTAAAAGCTTCTGTGTGTACAAGCTGCTCTGTGTTAAAGTTTCTGTGCGCCGAAAGAACGTCTATCTGTAACACCTTCTGCGTGTAAATCTCGTTTGTGTAAGGACTTCTCTCGTAAAAGCTCCTCTGTGTCAAGACTTCTTTGTGCGAAAGGCTTCTCTCTGTAAAAGCCTTTGTGTGTACAGGCTTCTCTGTCTCAAGACTTCTCTGTGTAAAGACTTCTGTGTGTAAAGGCTACTCTGTGCAAAAAAGCTTCTGTGCGTAAAGGCTTCTGTGTCAAGACTCCTCTGTGTCTCTGTAAACGCGTCTGTGTGTCAAAGTTTCTGTGTAAAGGCTTTTTTTGTGTAAAAGCTTCTCTGTGCATGTCCCATTTTTCAGCCTTTGCAAACCGTTTGACCGGTCTTGGGACCATTTGACCAGTCTTGGGTCCACAATTTTTTCAGGCCAATCGCAATGATGGCATTTGTCCTGAAAAAACCCGTGCCAACAGCTCTGCCGCAAACTATTTTCAAGGTTTCCTATCCGTCCAGCATGTTGTCTCGCTCCCTCCAGCGAAGCTCTCCGCAAGCTATTTCCACGGTTTCCTGTCCATCCAGCATGCTGTCTCCCTACCTCCCAGCGACGCTCTCCGCAACCTATTTGCACGGTTTCCTCTCCGTCCAGCACGCTGTCTCGCTCCCGCCCAGCGAAGCTCTCCGCAAGCTATTTGCACGGTTTCCTCTCCGTCCAGCATGCTATCTCGCTTCCTCCCGGCGAAGCTCTCCGCAACCTATTTGCACGGTTTCCTCTCCGTCCAGCATGCTGTCTCGCTCCCTCCCAGCGAAGCTCTCCTTAACCTATTTCCACGGTTTCCTCTCCGTCCAGGATGCTGTCTCGCTCCCTCCCAGCAAAGCTTTCCGCAAACTATTTGCACGGTTTTCTCTCCGTCCAGCATGCTGTCTCGCTCCCTCCCAGCGAAGCTTTCCGCAAGCTGTCTCGCTCCCTCCCAGCTCAGCAAGCTATTTCCACGGTTTCCTATCCGTCCAGCATGTTATCTCGCTCCCTCCCAGCGAAACTCTCCGCAAGCTATTTTCACACTTTCCTCCGTGCAGCATGCTGTCTCCCTCCCTCCCAGTGAAGCTCTCCGCAACCTATTTGCACGGTTTCTTCTCCGTCCAACATGCTGTCTCGCTCCCTCCCAGCGGACTTTCCCCAAGCTATTTCCACGGTTTTCTCTCCGTCCAGCATGCTGTCTCGCTCCCTCCCAGTGGAGCTCTCCGCAAGCTATTTTCACGGTTTCCTCTCCGTCCAGCATGCTGTCTCGCTCCCTCCCAGCGAAGCTCTCCGCAAGCTATTTGGACGGTTTCCTCTCCGTCCAGCATGCTATCTCGCTTCCTCCCAGCGAAGCTCTCCGAAACTATTTCCACGGTTTCCCATCCGTCCAGTTGTCTCGTTCCCTTCCAGCGAAGCTCCCCGCAAGCTATTTGCACGGTTTCCTCTCCGTCCAGCATGCTGTCTCATCCTCTCGCGCTTCCTCCCAGCAAAGCTCTCCGCAAGCTATTTCCACAGTTTTCGTCTCCGTGCAGCATGCTGTCTTGCTCCCTCCCAGCGAAGTTTCCTCAAGCTATTTCCACGGCATCATCCCGTCCAGCATGCTGTCTCGCTCCCTTAAAGCGCAACTTTCTGCAAGCTATTTGCACGCTTTCTTCTCCGTCCAGCATGCTGTCTCGCTCCCTCCCACCGAAGTTTCCCCAAGCTATTTCCACGGTTTTGTCCCGTCCAGCATGCTGTTGCGCTTCCTCCCAGCACAGCTTTCCGTCCAGCATGCTGTCTCGCTCCCATCCACCGCAGTTTCCCCAAGCTATTTTCCACGGTTTTGTCCCGTCCAGCATGCTGTCTCGCTCCCTCCCCGCGCAGTTTCCCGAAGCTATTTCCACGGTTTTGTCCCGCCCAGCATCCGGTCTCGCTCCCTCCCAGCGAAGTTTCCCGAAGCTATTTTCCACGGTGTTGTCCCGTCCA